GTGTGTGTGCTGCCGCTGCAACCACTTTAGACTGTTACATAATCACTCATATCCTTGTGTAATACCCACAAAGCACAAGTGTGCGTGAAATAATTCATGTTAAGAAATATAAAACACCAATGTGTATGAACTACGTCAAGGAATGGACAGTGAGGTAGCTGCGATAATATTCTGACGGATACTGTAAATATAAGACGACCTTGTATCTCCAAACTCGATCAATTCAAGCCACACACCTTAAAAAAGTTTTCACACTGATTATTTGTTTAAAACATGAGAAACTGAATAATCAGAACTACTTCACTGAGAAATCGTCCAACATGACATAAAAACAGTGAACACAAGCCTCGTGTTTGCTAACCCAGCTACTTATTGATCATCGTGTACCAAACAGGACCCGCAGGACAAGAAGGCAAAAGGTAAAATAATGTCAAATCAACACACACTGAATGCGGCAAAAACAGTTTTCATGACAACTGAGTTTCAAATTCTGCTTTTAATTCTTAATCTTCTAAATCTATTTTTTATTTCACCATATTTCTTTGCCATGTGGTTCTACTTTTTAAAGGTTTTTCAAGAAATTAGTTCAGACGTGTTTTAACAAGACACTACTATATTATCAACAAAACAAGACTTGCAACAAATATTTCACTTAATGTAAGAAAATTATAATTTGGGGCTCAGTAACAAGCTTGTTAAGGACCTAACAGCTTCTTAAACTATATATCTTTCTCCCTTTGTTTTAACAATTGATTAGGGAGGGATGAGGCACTCTGCTCTGTTGCTGCAGCTATTTGTGATTAAGACTGATTAAGACTAGCATATTTTTACCTGAAAATCTTGCCTAGTGCAACTTTAAATTACTTCCAAAAGGCCCTTGGGGTTGCAAAACTTTCTTGACCTAAAAAGGTAAGTGTTAGCTCGAGTAAAATATAAAATCCCAGCTGTCTTTCTTGAATTAGGATTCATTCTCGTGCCAGTGTGGTGACAGCACGTACCCATAGTGTTGTATCCAACTACCAGGACAGCATGGTTAGACCACTGGCTGGAGCAGTGGTGCTGGATGATTCCACCCAGGTAATCCTGCCAGCTGACAGCATCCACGATAGCTGCCAAGGGACCGCGCTCCACCAGCTGACCCATCATTGCCTCCTCTCGACCGCTGAAGAATAACAGAAAAATTCACTCTTGAGGCAGCCATACTGGTCCTATGATAACACTGTTTTTTTGTGGTATTGTCATGTGAAGTACTGTTGAGACAGAACGCTATGAAATATATCAGGATACACTTTCCAAGCAAGATATTGAATCAAGGTTATTACCTGAATTCAACATTTCACTGAGCCTATTTTGCACCATTTTCTTGGGATCAGCAGTTCACCTCTCTCTACTCTTCCCATAAAATTGGTATTTTCCTCATTTTCTCTGTTGCACATATGTAGGCACCCTCTGCCACCCCATCTTGTCCTTTCAGCAGATGATTCCCACTGGGGATAGCTGTGATGCCCTCCTCTGCCAGGTTCATGACATAAGGGCCATGGAGTGTAAATCTGTGCCAGATTTATATTGAATAAAGGCATTTTACACTCCACTCATGGCGAGGTGAGGTCTTATCTTGTTGAAACTTTATGATTCTGTTTTTCCTTTGTTATGCAGCAGTAAAGATCTGGCTTATGAGCCCCTTAACCAGAAGGTTAAGACACCCCCGTGACCCCTGAGTCTCCACCCTGCACAAATGTCCAATTTCAGCAGTTTGATGCACTCAATGATCCAGCACTCTGACCTTTCTGAAGTCGGGGGTGGGTCAAAAGGCACAATTTCATACTGGGATCAGTGGATTGTTGAGATAAAGAGGTCTTTTAGTATAAGCGTGACATTGACATTTACTAGGTTTGAAAGCAACTGAATCTTTACTTTTAAGTTCTGTTTAAGAATGATTTATTATATTATAATGCCAAAATGTTGCCAAATGTTATAAATAAAAAGCTACATCCAATTCAAGTTGTATGAAAGTAAAGAAACTATACAAAACAGAATGTGTTATATTAAGTTGGCAAATGTATTAATCTTGGAAGCTCTGTTGAATAAAGATTAAAACTTAATCGACTGACACAGGACCCTGACCCTCCCTTTCATAGCAATACAACAAAAATAACAAGCATTATAGATGCATGAGCGTGAGTCATGATCCTGTTCAATATTATATAATGAAGATCTGATTCACTTTAACTTACGGTTACTTGGCCAGTCACCGTGACCAGAGTAAAGAACCTCTGTGCTACTGAGCAATCTGTCTGTGTTGACTCGGTAAACATTGTCATCTGTCATTGCGCAGGACCAAGCCCCCTCCCCTCTACCTCTGTCCTTGGTCCTTTATGAAAGCCACTTTAAAATTCCATGTCATTTTACCCAAATACAACGCAGTTAATTTTTACCCTTTATTGCTTGTAGATAGCCTGCAAAAAATGTATTTTACCTGAAGTCATGAGCAATGAAGTTCTTCACAGCAACACCGTCATGTGATTGAGAGAAAAAATGGCAGATCCCTGTCTTGGCTTTGTAGGGGTACTCTGACCGAGGCACCACTTTCACTCTGGTCTAAAAAGCAAATAGTTTATCTCAGTGAGTGTGTTATCTTAATACAAAAAATCAATTCATCTTATTTATGCAAGATCCTGGCACAGGCATTTTCCTAATTTCTGTCTGCCAAGAGACAGCAATCGTATTTTGCTTACTGCCTCTATATATCTCTCTAATTAAAACACATGACAATATTACTTGATTTTAAGCTAAAGCTATAGAGACGTTATCTTCACACAGGTTTCCTCTTTCATAAACAGTCACTTTGGGAGCACATAAGGATTTAATACACCTCTTGTGCTCTTATGTAATGAAGTACTGGGAGTTTATTCTCTATAAACAACTTAGGAAGAAGCTGTTAAAAGGTAAGTTCTGTGTATTTCAACCTGGACCCCACATTTCCATGTTTTTGTGTCTATGTGACTCGTGGGAGCAACCATTCTTGAAATTTGTCACAGCTGGCAGCAGACACTAGGTTGTGATGTAATCACTCGGGGCATGTTTGCACCGTCAATTTACATCCACCTGAAGTGCTTATTTTTGGCACTGACATGTTCAGATTATATTCTAAGTGTTTGACAATTTACGGACAGGAACCCTACAGAGACAGACATTTTAGTTAACAAGTATGATCTATTTTGTTAAACCAGAAACAGCCCCAAAATCACTATCACAGAACCCCCCACACTCCACTTAAACAAAAATCAATTTCATCATTGTAAAACACACTTTGTTTAAAGCTGACAGAAACAAAATTAAACTCACAAAAAACATCTTGGTTCATGTTTCTACTGTTCCAAAAATCGTTCCAAAATTGGTTGAAATAAACTCTTAATTCACCCACTAAGGTGTGAAAGGATTTGTCTTTAACAAAAAGGTTTATCTTTCTAGGGATCCTTTACATAATGTTGTCAGACATTTAGAATAATAATCTGAGCCTGTCAGTGGCAAAAAAAAGCACTTTTAGTCAACGTAAATAGAGAGAGCTTACTTGCCCCGAGTGGTTGTACTGCAGCTTGCTCTGCTACTGCCAGCTTCAGCAGTTCGCTCAATACTGGACCAATTTCAAAAGCAGTTGTTCCCACTGGTCACTTAGAAACAAAAATATGGGCAAATATGATTGAAAAAATACCAGGCTTACCCTTTAAAGACCTGAAATCATGTAAAATGATATCAACATACTTGCTTTAACCAACTCAGGGCCCGTAACGTGGAGCCTCCACTGCAGCCCTCATTTTTGTAGGAGCAGTCCAGAACCTGCTGCACACTGAGCTGCTCCAGCTGCGAGCCTCCTATGGCATGGGTGGACTGCATGGCACCAACTACGCTAAATGCCCAACAGCTCCCACACTGCAAAGGTAAAATTACACTTATCAGGAAAAACAAAACCACAAAGGGAAGGCTGAACAATCCTTGAGGACTTGAACAAAACCCCAGGATAAAATAATATATTATAGTATCTGGAAGAAGAGATGTCATTTTGCGTATCCCCATTTTCAGAGAGGTCGGTGTCTCACTAAAGGACACTTTTTGCAATCTCTGCTGTTAAAATCACTGCTGAAATTCCTTTAAAAAAAAATACAGTAATATCAGTGTAGTACAAAATTTAGATACATTTAAATAAGGTTTGGTGGCTAAAACACTGACTAATATTGGGCTATTGGGCTTTATAAATAAAACTGATTGAACTTGAAAGATTTGTTCCAAAGTAAAGAGTTTGGGATGTGACTGCATTTGGAGTTAAGTCCAGTATTACCAAAGACAGGAATCTACAGTGAGTGTGCAAGTTGTACATGTTGATGAGGTGAGAAGATCTGGCTAGTCTGAGTGAACTGTTTGTTTTCTGCTGCCATCTACTGACAGAAACACCTCAGGTATGCTGTGTCTTGAGGAAAATCTTAATTTCTGCTTCAGTTAATGTATTTAGTTTTAAGATATTCTGACAGCAAAAGTTGCTCTTGTACTACATCTCTCATATAGATTACACTGCTTTCCTGAAACCAGTCATTTTTTAGAGGGGAAACATACAGTATTTCATTATGTAAGAGACTGCATCTTTTCCTGTTTAACATTTGCACAGGCAATCTATTTTCAAAACAGCATCCGACCAGTTCACTTGCTCAGCATAAATTCCCATAAATGCGATGAAAACCTGAGCTCCCCGTGTAAAAATCCAATATTTTGTTGCTCAATATGGTTCCATGCCTTAAAATCAATACTGAAACCAAAATCAGTCATTATTGCTTGGAGTGGAGGTAAGGATGTGCTGAGTATACAAAATATTAGGACCATCTGCTCTCTCCTTTAAAGCAATGAAATGTACTTGAGTCATAAAAGTGGAATCACAATAAGGGAAAACTGAATCAAGAAGAATGTATGAGATGTGAGTGGCTTGATATTTTGTGTCTTTGTGCAGGGTGCAGCATTTTATTTTCTGTTGTGGAAACTCAGTCCAGACAGGTTCACGGATGGGACCAGAGGAAAAGAAATCTGTGCAGGAAAAAATTGCAGCAGAGTTGAGTGGTAGGTGAGTGTGGTCATGTACAGATTCTGCCTGAAGTGGTGAGCTTCACCGGACTTCAAGAGAACAAGATATATGTTATGGTGTGGGCTGTTTGCTGTACGGGTTATGTCTCTCCCTCAGGACAACAGTTTCACAGTGAAAATGTCATCCCCGATGGCAAGTTGGCTGACTAAAGAGATAAAGGACGCAGGTGAACCTTCACGAGGACAAGCAACAGCTCCATCTCACTAAAAGTCACACTAAATGGCCTAGTTTGTCCTTTCACCATGATTAAAAAGTCTCCCTCCACTACAAAATGTGGTTTACTTATTGTTAACAGCACTTGGGTGTTTGACCTTCACTGTGCAGAATGATTCATGTGTCGACTTTGATACTAAAAGACTGTTTTCAAATTCATCTGCTGAATGGGGGAAGTTTTTGTTTACGTTAAATCTGTTTATGATGTGCACGTCTCGTCAAATTTTGTGATATCACAACAGCTTTGGAGGCCGATGATGTGTGATGTGGAGACTTGAAGCCTTCAGTGCGGATACTGTAAACCTATGGTGAAAAATAGCAGCACACACAACTCCAATATCTTGAGCAACGTATCAGGTGCACGGCTGTAGCAAGGATCTAAAACAAAGCACTGGCGCTAACAGATACATTTATTTGGCAAAACAAACAAATGGATTCTATAGTGTCTTGCTGTGTGTTATCGTCCTGGGAATCTTTTTTTTTTTTATTTTTTTTTTTTACTTTTCAGCTTTTGACACCGGTTGTTGTTTCTAATTGTTCCTGACACTCCTCCTACTTAAGGAGAGGCCATTGCTGGGCGGGTTATTCATTCAAAGATGGATTCTATCATGCAATTACTGTGTGTATTCTCTGTCCTGATTATTGTTTGAACCTCACTTGTTCGTATAAATTCCCATTCCTGTTTGTTTTTGTTGGTTATGCCCAAGTGCTGGCGTTTTATTTGTGTTCGATACTGCACACCTATAAAACACATTTCAGTGAAGCTGGGGACATCATGTAACCGGTACTTTAACTTTTGAAATCCACAATATTTGCTTGTTCATTCATGCTGGTATTTACAATAGGGGAGAAAGAGTCAGCATCCTTTTTAAGAATTGTAACCAGGTATACTATGAAGGAACTGCGACATTCAAACTTGGCCCCTCCTCTCTCACTGCTCACGTACACTGCAAGCTACTACTGTAGGAATGTTACATTTACTGTAATGGAAAAGCTGATACATTAGCAAGCTGTCAGCCAACAGCTGGCACCTACCTGGCCAACAAAAAACAGGCCAACTTTGTGTCACTCTTCATCCCCATCCTCTCCTTTAGTGCCTGCCAGTGAAAGTCAAAGCCAACCCCAAATACACTCTTGCCTTGTAATGGCTTTGTCCACTTTGTGTTTCGGCTTGCTATATTTGCATTTCTGCTGTGCTGTGTATGAGATTTTCGTAGCTTCCTGTTGGATGCATGCTGCTACCACCTTTTAAAGCCCTGACCCTCACCTATGTGCCATTACTGGCTGTGACCTACACATCCAGAAATGTCATGTACACAGCAAAATAAAATGAAAGTAATAAAATACAGGCAGAGGGCAGGGTCTCTGCCGATAAATACATCACCACACTTGTGCTGTAGTGGGGTCAAAAGTGATGACTGAGAGAGATGACTTCTGTATGAGTCAAACATTGTTTTTTTTGTAAAATCCTGCATACTTCACCTTTAATATTGAATTTTTGTTGAGTAAAACCACATCAGGCTCAAATTATCATTCCAGGCAGAGGATTTTTACATCTTAAAACATGCCTGAAGGGGATCTTACATAAATTGATATTCATCCCTACAGCTGAAGCTTGGAATTATTTATTTTGGCTATGTCATTTCTGAGGCCAATTATGGGTACCCTTATGCATATTTTGGGTTGTCTATTTCCCGCCTGTTTCTTATGATATCATCTAATTGTTTCTTAATGAATACAAGATTTAAAAAAAAAATAAAAAATAAGATTCAGTGAGTGTAGCTCAACTGTGTCTCTCTACCTACACTACATTCCCACCTATACAATAAAATCCATCATCCATCTGTTTAAACCTTACTGCTTCTTGGTTCTGGACCGGCGCCACCACTGCTTTGTCTCTCCAGTCAAATTTGGCTGGGAGCCCCTCTGTCTTCAGTCCAGAGAAGAGAGGAGCTCTGTCAGCGCTCGCTCGGAGGTAGAGATCTGTGGACAACAGATACAGCTCAAAGTCATTCCTGGATACAGAGATGCATGTAAACAATGACTGTGCAGATTCAGCCCAGTTGCTCAGGGGGAGGTAAGCTGCTCAGTAAGCTATCCACTGGACAGGTACAAAATAACTGAATACATTTCACCTGATGTGTGACAAAACTTCATCCTACCTCTGAATTCCTTCTGTGAGAGGTCAGAGAACCGGTTGATGCCATACTTGGCGGACTGTGGTCCTGCGGAGAGTGAGTTCAGGTATGCGTGCCGCTCTGTAGCATTCTGGAAAAACACACATGGTCAAGTTAACTGAAGGGACAGCAATTATTAAGGCAACTCAAATCATCAAACACAGTAACACAATATGAGTGAGTACAAAATACATCCCACATGTCATTTACATCTCACTATTTCATCACTATCCCATGGTAGAAAGGAACCAGGTACATTTACTCAAGAATGATAATTAACACTTTCAATGTACTACATTTCACGAGGAAACATTGTTCACTTCGCTACATTTATCTGACATCTATAGATACAGGTCACTTTGCAGGTTTCAGTTTTTACAAACAAATATAATTGGTGTTGAAGATTAATCTGCAAAACAGTTGTTCAGTCTCTGAAAATGCACCTTAAATAGCTACAGCATTTACCTGCCACTTAGAGTTGTCAGTTTATTAGGTACACCTAGCTATAACTTAAGCAGTCCGATAAAACTCAGTCAATCTTCATGAAGGTTAAAATGTTCACTTTACGTTTGGACCCCTGTGAAGTAATACTATGTGCAACCCATTTATATGAACAAGAGTAGACTAAGTAATAGAAACACCTCTGAGTATAACGCAGTACAATGCAACAGCACCACACACTTAACAGCCTTCAGAATGACCATGAGGGTGAGTCAATACAATTATCAATGTAGGAAGAAGATGTATTTCATGGATGTTGCATGGAGGTTTTATCTAGCAGTACCTAATAAACTGGTAACTGAGTGTATACTAATGATAAATCGGACAGGAGTAATTTTAAGTTTACTTGTGTTTGTATTTTATATCTAATTTTAAAACAACTATGCAACTTTTGCTCAACAGTGGCCACAATTGTTAATTATGGGAGATTAATACATACTAAAACCTAGTGTCACAGTAGCACAAATATAGAAGAGTCATAAAGCCAGTGAACTGACTGTTACACATCAGCTTGTACTAGCCACCATAAGCTACTGGTCATACCAGACCTAATTGTGCAAGGGTGGGTTTTTTTTAAACTGCTTCTTAATTCAGCTTTTGTAAGAAGACAACTGTGTTAATTCTGCATTCAAAAGTTGCACAGTCTCAATTTAAATACATTTTGCTGGTAGCTAGAAGCTACACAAGAAGCACAGCCTACCTGTAACTTTAAATTGCAAGTCTTGTAATGCTAAAAGAGTAGGGCTATTGTTAACGTTCAATTGTGGCATTACTTCTTTTACCTAACCTAGTGTCAACCTAAGCGCTACAGGAACAGTGTCATTCCTGCTGTCTAAGTCTTTTACTTTGCACGTCCCTCTTATTTATTTATTATTCTTAACCACCTTTGGAAGTTTTGATTTGTCTTAACTATTTATTGTCCCTTGCATCATGTTCTTAATCAGGTCAGTTTTTTTTGTTGTTGTTGTTGTTGTTGTTTTTAAATGAACTTCATGGTTTTTATTTCCAGTTTTACTTCTGGCTTTCGCAAATCCTGATCAGTAAGCCTTCTGAGTACTTGTCTCTTATGTTTTATGTTTCTATGTCCTGTTTTTGTGCAGTCTGATGTCTTCTGTTCTATGTTAAATGCTCTTACTGCAGAACAAATCTACCTTCGGGTACAAATAAAGTAACCTGAACCTGTCCCTCATTTATAGCATATTAATCTACAATTAATATATCCTCCTGAGTCCCTGTGTCCTCATTTGAGGACATCATGTTTTGGGTTTACTTGACCTTATGCTTCATTCTACTTAACTTAGACCTGTTGTCCTCATTCATGGACACTTTTTGTGCCATATAGTGGTGGTAAGAGCACAATACACTAATCCATGTCAAAACAAGATGGCAGCCATCTCTCTCAAGTCAGTGCAGCTGATCCTGAGATAAAAGTGGACAAAATCTGATCAAATTTTATGGTTGAAACCTATTTATTTATGAATTATAATGTTTGTAGTTTAATATGGCAACAAGTTTGACCAATTGTATCAACAGTAACAAGTTAAGACACTATTAACTGGGAAGTACTCGTTTGAAGACATTTGGACTTTACTGTCATCTCGTTTGTGGACATTGGGACTTGATTATGGTTGACAGTGTTTAGTTTTTTATACTTACTTTTTATACTTATCAGATCCTACTGATCCCAAATAGCATGGAGAAATTAAAAAATGTATATCAAACAAAAGTTCGGGTCTCGGGTGGATATAATTTGTAACATAAGCATTTCACATATATTACATTCCCTTCATTTAAATAAGTGGGCGGTGTCTGAAGTGACGTGCCCAGCTATTTGTTTACAGCCGTGAGTTTATCAGCGTGTAAAAACTCATGAGTGACAACCATGGTGACAAGAGTTTTCCTTTACGTCTCTGTGTTCCTCTTGTTTGTGTCTCTTACCTGAAAATAGAGATGACGGCGCGTAAATTCCTCGCTGTTGACTTCATACCTGCGGTGAAACTGCTCTCTGAACGAGTGGAAATCAACCGCAGAGCCGTTTAACTTTGTCCGAGTCTCAACGGAGCTCACATTTCGACAACACAGAGGACAGACGAGCATGTAAACAGTCGCTAAAACAATTATATACAGATGGCCGCCCCTCATTTGACGAAGAAACGTAGGTTTAAAACATTCAGTGGTTGAAGAGGGAAGTAAATTCAAAAGTAACTGGCGGAAAAAGGTGAGGTAGAAGCTAGTGCGCACGCGCAAGAGCAAGAGGCGCTTCCTTGGAAACAGAAAGTAAAGTACCATTCACAAGGAGGAGACACTGAGGACACTTTTAATGTTATTGTAAAATAAATATAGAAATAAATTATGACTAAGAATTGTTGTAATAATTAAAA